AGAGGATGTACACTAGTACAGGTAGGAACTGGAAACACAGGGAATCCAGGGTGGATGATCCCTTCAGGACCAGTGGTCAGAGTGGCAATACCAGGAGGAGGGAGGGTGGGGTAGAAAGGGGGAGCTGAAGGCTCTACATATAACCTCCTCCCTGGGGGATGGACAACAGAAAAATGGGTGAAGGGAGAAGTCGGAAAGTGCAAGATATGACAAAATAATAATTTATAAATTATCTAGGATTCGTGAGGGAGGGGGGAGCAAAGAGGGAGGGGGAAAATGAGGAGCTGATGCCAGGGGCTAAGTTGAGAGCAAATGTTTTGAGAATGATGATGGCAACAAATGTACAAATGTGTTTGACACGATGTATGTATGTATGGATTGTGATAAGAGTTGTACAAGCCCCAGTAAAATCATTTCAAAAAAAGAAGAGTATGCACATTGTGTTATCACTGAAATGCATCCTAAGAAATGAGTGTACTTTCCCACTTTTGTTACCTGCAGAACCAGTCGTCACTGCATCAGCTCCAATGCATGCCGACCTCACGCGGGTCAGAGTAGAACTGTGCTCCTCGGGGTCGTCAATGACTGATGCCCAGAATTTGATCACCAGGCCTTTCTTCCTACACATCTCTGGGAGGATCTGACCCTCAGAGCATTCGGTTTGGAAAATGATCGCATTAACTCTCTGCACTGCCCAGGGACTTTTGTTAACTATTGTCACCCTCGTCAAGATATTATTCCTGGAGGAAAAAATAACGATGGAAGGGATCTGAACTAAGATTGATATTCTGTTCAAGTTATACAGCAATGTCTGAGACTGCTAGCCACTGTAACTGTCGACTGCGGATTAGAACATTTTAGTCCACATAAAAACCTAATTATATTAGGTATAATTTATTTTATCAAAAAACGTACTTTTTTTCAATAAAAAACCTGGCTGTTCAATAACAAATAAAAAAAAAAGGGTCCCGTGTATTGGATCCAAGTGGCTGAGCTGCCAACCATACAAATATTCACTTACCCCAGGGCCATCCTGATTTTCATTGAGCTCTGAAAGTTGTGTACTGGATTTTTGACGTTTAGGCTTATTCCTTTCACCAATAAAACCAGAACCACTTTCATGTAATTTTTCAACTTCTTGAGTGTTCAAAATACAGTCGTCACGGTTGCTGACTCCAGAAGGAATATTTTCTTTGTTGACAAGTCCCCTTGAATAGACAAACAGGGGAGAAAGACATGTAATGATACTGCCACACACTGTGTAAGAGGCTGGAAGAGCGCCCAGAGACTCCAGTTTGCATCTTTGATCCCAGTCTGAATAGAGTGCCATGCTCCTTGGGAGACCACTTTATGCCACTTTAAAAGATAAATTATCCCGAGGGGCAAATTGGCAAGGCTTATATTTCCACGCAGGAGAAAGATGTGGCAGTCTGCCTCATGGAAGGAGTACCCCAGCCTATGTGATCACAAGGCATTGAACAGATCAGGTATCAGGCATCAAAGACCAAAAAAACCCCAAAAAACCATAGCATTGTGAATGAGGGAGAGTGCGGAGTGATATGTGGGAAATTGGAGATCCCCTTCCAGAAGGGCCGCGGGGAGGAGAAGAGCCAGTCAGGGTGCAGGGTAGCAATGATGAAATATACAACTTTCCTCTAGTTCTTAAATGCTTCCTCCCCCCCACCCCGCTACTATGATCCCAATTCTACCTTACAAATCTGGCTAGACCGGAGGATGTACACTGGTAAAGATAGGAACTGGAAACACGGAATCCAGGACAGATGACTCCTTCAGGACCAGTGTGAGAGGTAGAGGGAGAGTTGAGGGAGGGTGGGGTGGAAAGGGGAAACAGATGACAAGGATCTACATATAACCTCCTCCCTAGGGGACGGACAGTGAAGTGGGTGAAGGGAAACATCGGACAGTGAAGTGGGTGAAGGGAAACATCGGATGGTGCAAGATATGACAAAATAATAATAATTTATAAATTATCAAGGGTTCATGAGGGATGGGGGAGGGGGAAGCAGTGAGGGAGGGGAAAAATTGAGGAGCTGATACCAAGGGCTCAAGTAGAAAGCAAATGTTTTGAGAATGTTGAGGGAAACAAATGTACAAAAGTGCTTGACACAATGGATATATGTGTGGATTGTGATAAGAGTTGGATGAACCCCCAATATAATGATTTTTAAAAAAAATTACAGTCTTGGGAAAACAACAACAACAACAACAGCCAAAAATCCTACAGGGGAGAATTTACTAAGGTAAATCTAATTTCTCCTGCAGGGTCACTATGAGTCATAATTGCCTCAATGGCAATGCGTTTTTAATGGATATGTTTCCATCAGTGATATGGTATATATATGATTTGCTACCTATATAGCTTTTATAGCTATACCAAAAGCAATTTGTACTCAAACAGAGAGAATAGTGAGTCTTTGTACAAAAAAAATTCCTCATTATTCACAGGAATATTTTAAATATGATAAGATACTGTGTGTGGAGAAATATGTGAAAAAGGGATATTTTCCCTAGAATGTGATTCATTAAATTCCCAAAATAATAAAAGCATTTCAACATAGGAGAAACACATACATTGTATTTAAATCTCACTGAATCAGATCATGTTGATCGAAATAGTAAAAGTTAACAAAAAAATCAGAGTAGCATGCATTTTAAATGAGATAAAGATTTGTGATTTTCCTGTATAAGGAGTACCAGAACGTTAATTTATAATGTTGTGGTCCTTCCTGACTTAGCTTTAGAAATACATCTGAATGTCCTAGTATACAACTTTGTTTTTTCAAGGGCACTGAAACAGAGGGAGGTATAGAAGTACACAACAACACTTGTGGCATTTCAGCAGTCAGAGGCATTGATCATGTTCATCACGGTCCGCAACCATCACCGTCAGCCACTTCCAAGTCTTTTCATCACCTTACAAGAAGCCCAGCATCCTCTGTGCAACAAGCCCAACTGTCCCTTCCCTGCTGCCCCTGGTAACTACTAATCAACTCTGATCTCTAACCATTTCCTCAGCTTGACCGCTCATACAAATAGTATCTAGAAGATGTGTTCTTTTTACTGTAACTGGAATAAATTCATCCATCTGGGCCTTGTTCAAATGACCCTGACTTGGTAAGGTACTGATAAGGTTTTACTTTCCCTCGAGGCATGACTGGGTTCTAGGCAGTATCTTGAATTAAATGAACTTGAATTTTTAAAAAGGAGCATATTTTACCATCAACTCAACCATATTAAATATCCAAGAAAAAGTTCAATATTTATTCTTCAATCGAGATGTGCAGCCCCTTAGGCTATAATGGAGACAAATTATGAATTAAATAGTCTCATAATACATTCAAAGTTAGACGATCATCGGTCATTTTGAACAGTCTACACTTAGGCGAGTCTTGTATTCCACAACTTGCATTGTGAAATATACATATATTTAGTGAAATGACAGAAAAGATTTATAAGATATTATAGAGAAATCTCCTACATATCAAATAATCGAAGACATGAAGAAAAGCTAACAGAGACAACAAGCGACATGCTTCTGTAAATGCTTCACTCTCTCTCTTCCCTTCCCTGGACGCAGGGCGTCCTGCAGATGGCTGGATGAGACTACTTCGTAGTTTCCCTATCGCCTATGCCATACCAAGTATAAATGCTTTTAAATGGAGCGACACTTAGGTGTGAACTTGGGAAGGAAGTGCATTTTACAATCTTGTGGAATAGTGAATCAACATAGAATAATGCTCACCAAACTAAGCACATCCAATCCGATCATGCGATCGTCTCTTGTGGAAATGCTGCTCTCCCTGAGGGGACGTCTCCACTTTGGTGAGTGAGTTAGTAATTGTGCCAACCTGGCCGATAATCACATGTGGGGCTAATTGAAAGGCGGAGGATAAATGGGTGGTGAGCCTCGCCTTTCTAGTTCTAGGGTCTCTTGCTTTGTGATGGTCGCACCAGGGTGCAGCTGCCTTGGCAGTTCCCTGCTTCAGCTTGCAAGATTGACTTCCTACAAGACATCCCCAAGGAGAAGCCACATGGACCTATCCCGATGCAGCCCTGGGTGCGGAGCAGCCGTGTGGAGACCCCTGCTAGTGCTGAGATGCTTGTTTGTTCACTGACTCAGCTTTCCTCCTGCAGTCGGCATCATTGCCTCTGTTTTGTGAGGCAGAGGACTTTGTGGACTGGTGTTGGGTTAATGGGTTAATGTTGGACTTGGCTTGGGCAGCATTGGGTTGGGATGTTTTCGTGATGCACACTTTCTTTACATAAAACTCTCTTATACAGGAGTTGCTGTGGATTTGTTTCTCTAAAGTACCTAGACTAATACAGTGATCATCAGGGGAGTCAGCTCAGAGTCCCATGTGCTTGCGGAACACTTGTCCCCAGGTCCCAGGCCTCCAGACTGCTTTCAATCATAGGTGACATCACTTAGATTCGACATGAATTTAGATCTCTGTGGCTTCTCATTCTAATGATCTAGATGTGTTTGTTCAGGGTTTCTCTTCAGTCCTGCCCAACCCTTGAATGTTGCAGTCAGACTAAACCATTTATTCTCTCCTTAAGACGCTTGCTTTTCTTGTTGTACATTGCAATAGGAATGCAACATGATATTAATATAACACATTTTCTTTGTCATGTCAATATAACTGCCCAGTTTATTATAGTTTAGAAGGCCGAAACCACTTTCACTTAAAATAATAATACCTTGCTACTGAAGAAAAAATTATTATGAAAAATTTCAACTATATAAATAAAAGTGGTGAGACACTTAAAAGGTAAACCATAGGAGTCCACAATGATCAAAAGTTCCCTGTGTTTTCTTTGTCCTCCCAGATTTTCAGAAAACACTTTAGTATGAAAAATTTCTACACGAACAAAATAGAGAGCAGCACTTGTGTATCTACCCTCTGCGGCAATAACCATCAACCTCTCCATTCCTATTTTCGGCATTTCCTCTTTCTCTCCTTGCTTAATTAAGTAGTTTGAAGCAAATCTCAACCTTCATATCATTTCATCTAAAAAAAAAAAGTCTTGCAGAACCGAGACATTTTCCTATTTAGCCACAATTCCATGATCACACCTAATATCCAGTCCAAAATAAAACTTCCTGGTTTGTACGAGAAAAATGTCATGTTCACCATGAGTTTAACCATGCCTTGATACGTGGCAGCCTCCGGATCTGCAGCAAGCCTCCTCGCTGCCGGGTGACATGTGATTTCATTACTCAAAATCTACCTCAGGCAGCAGTTCCCCAGAAAGCCTTGGCACTGCCTCCCTCCCCGGGGCCATAACCGCACCTTCCTCTTAGGGCCATAACCGCACCTTCCTCTTATCTTGCACAGATAGGCAGCGCTTGCTTTGCAGTTCTGATATGCAAAAATTTCAGTTACCAAGGTTCCTTCCATAATACCAATCCCCCAACACCACAGTTCAAGCCGCGGTTATCACTCTCCATTAACTGTGGACAAATAAGGAGCACACTTTTCAGTGAGTGCTTCAGGACGCGATCGGTACATAAATGGGGTGGCATCCTGGCCGGTGACGGCTCCTGGCACTCCTCTGCTGGTCACTGGCTGCCGGTTGAGTACTCAGCAGGGTGTGTGCTAAGGCCGACTCGTTGTCTTCCGGGGATAAAGTCAGCACTGGACAGTTTACAAAAACCAAAAAAAACCCAGAGGGAAGTAATCAACAAACAGGAAAGTGCAGAGAATGCGCAACACGCCGACACTCTGGAAGTGAAATGCAAATGGAATGAATGTAAGTGGAGTTAGTGAAGAAAAAGCTGACGGTGGGAAAGTTGACACAGCTGCTGTTCCAGTGGCTCCGAGGAACTCTGGGAAGGACTTACTGACTGCAGTGAGGAAAACGGGATGAACCGGGTAAAGAGGGCCCAGAGGAAGGGTCCTGGGGGAGGCGGGGAACCCAAACCTTCACAAGAAGAAGCTCACACACGTATCTTCTATTGGAAGCGCAAAGACAAAAGGTTGGTGGTGGATTCATGTTCAGAAAGGAGCACAGTTTGCCCAGGCATAGCAACAATGTTCTCTCTCCACCGTAAGTCAGAGAACGAATGGAAGGCAAACGCTGCTCAAGCAATGAGTAAGCTTATTTTGTTTCTTTAACAAAAGAACACTTGAACTCTCAATGTTTCTAATGTTTTAGTTTACACGATAGAAAGTAAGTAATTTCACTGTTATTTATTTCTCTATCACTGACAGTAAGAGTTGTTAATGTTTGAGAAGAAATGTGAAAGGCTGAGGAACCGTGGCAACATTTCCTGTTGATTCGGATTACCTGGCGGGTGGGTCTTTGGTTGACACTATCATTTTTAGGGCTTCATGTTGCTGTGCCACAGAGGCTGGCTGCACTTCTAAGGAATGCTGATCAGTCTAACCACAATCCAACTTGGTTCCTCAAGAGAGAATCTATTAGTGGTTAGCAGACACAGCGAGACACTCAAAGATTGCTTGAGTTTGAGTCTAGCCAAGTAGCTAAATGACCTCAGGGAATTAAATGCCGCCATTTGAATAGCTAAAATCATAGGCTTGTTTAGACTAGTAAATTATTTGCACCCAAACGAATATATCATAGTTTTAGACTAGGATCTGTATTTCCAGGATGATGTACTGAGACGCTGCTGGCCCCTTAACTCTCTTCTTGAAAGAAACTCACCGTTGGCTTCAAAAATATTTGTCATTTGGTTGGATTTCGAAGTCATTTGAGGCAAAACAATAGATCATACAAATAGATTTCTAGTTTTCAAAAGACCTTTTAACCACTCTGTTAATACTTTTAGTAGAATATAGCACTACTTTAATCTGCCTTCTAGTTTTTTTAACGCAAAGCCTCACTAAAGTCCTATATAAATGAATCAATGATGTATAAGCAAATACAAAGAAAAGCTAATATTTAGTATAGGCTATACTAATTATTTCCAACATTCTTACAGTCTATGACAAGTTAGTGAATCTCCTTGGGACATATTTAACAGGGCGTTCAGAGGGATCTCTGAAGCGATTGACAGGGGGAGTGTGACAGTTAGGTTCATTGTGCCAGCTAGGCCAATAGGAACATGTGGGTGGAATGTGATCAGGTGGCAGCTTGATTAGAAGGCGACCAAGATAACTGAAGACGGTCAACATCCCAAAGCTCTCTTACTCCCTGGTGACTGGATCAGCATGCTGCTGCTTCCACTCGTTCTCTGCTTCAACTTGTGAGCTACACTACCTGTGGCCCAAGTCAACCTGTGGATCATGTTGCTAGAGCTTGAGGCTCCTTCGAGACCTGCTTCACCATGCTGCTGGTGTGTACATCACTTGAGCTTGAGGCTAGTGGATTATTTATGCCAGAAGCCTTCCTGGGCTTGGGAACTTCTTTATATTTAAGTGATACTTAAATCCCACAGGAGAGATTATCCTATGATTCACATTGCCCTACTCAGTTTAGACCTTATCAGTGTTTGACCTCACCTCCATCTCCCCTGCTCACTGCTTTACACCCACCCCACCACGTCTGTCCATGCTCTGTCATGCTTACTATCATCTCCAACCTCAACTTGTTGGTCACCTGGCCAAAGTTTGTGGAAAGCACTGTCGTGACACACACGAGGTAGTTTCAAAATGTAAAGTGCTGACACACGCTATCTGGCAAAAAAATGAGTCTGAGGATAAGAACTGTGTGAAAGGAATAATTTGTACTTGCTAGATAGGCTGCAAACAAATTCTGTTCTCTAAAAACTTTCTATACAGCTCACTCAGCAGCTAGTTTTCTTTTTATTATTATTATT